CACACACACACACACAGACACACACACACACACACACACACCTGGTTTAGATCACATTTCAGCAAGCAGGTGCAGCCGGGTTTACCTGCGCACACCAAATGGCCAATAGGATTACGAAGTGTGAAATGTTGTATCTCTGTCCAGGGCAGACCTAGCCCAAGAAGATAAATGTAACGTGAAAATGTAACTCGGGGCTGAGAGAACGAATTTCCTGCGGGAGCTCTGTGTCTCTGATCCCAGCGCTGCCTTTTCTTACCTGTGCCCAGACTTTGAGTAAACCTCCTGTTGATTTTATACAGTCCTCTCCTGTCTTCACTTCTTGCACTTTCAATAAAAGAACTGGGTAAAATCTAACAAACCACAACCTGGATGCAGCAGTTTAAAATCAAAAAGAGATGTCAGATTTGAAACTTGTGCCAAATCCAGATGATAAGCAGACAACATATTTGTCTCTAAATTTGTTTGAAATGCAGGATATTCCGAGTTAAAATTGTCCAAAATACCAAAAAGACAAAGACAATAAATTACAGCTCCATAAATTTCCAAGTCTTCCCTTCTCATGGGGATGGTAATTTGTTGTGCTTTGGCTGGCATGCAGCTTCCAAGGCTTTGAGCCCACAGTTTAATGCATGCCATCAATTCCTACCATTGTGGATTTTTTTGCATGAGTGAAAATTGCCCAGTGTGGATTCAGCTACAGGCCGCCGTGACTATTTCAGATCTGGGGTGATGAGGGACGTATATTTTGTGCGGTGACTCTTATTTGAGAATATGGCAGACTAAAACGAAACACTCTAAGGGAGGGATGAACCACTCTGAAGGCTGCACTGAAGGAATGGGGGCTGGTTTCCACACAGCAGATATAAAGTAGGATTAGAGTGTAAAATGTGGTTTTCCTTTGAGCAGCCACAAATGAAGATGGTTCATACTGAGTACTCTACACATTTTCCACCCATACCACAGTCTCTTTTTATTCAGGGAATAAGTGCTCAGGGATTTTCTCTCTTCTCAGTGGCTAAGGCCTCACAGTAGCTTGCTAGGTGCTGGGCCATGTGTAAAAAGTTACAATGTGAGTTCAGTAATAATATTACAGTTACTCCCTCCAAAAACAACTAGTTACAATATTACTTTTGGTGTCACCACAGCAAAGATTGATTTGAAATCTGACATTTAATATTTGCACACATCACTACACGTCATTTTTTGCAGCACCATAAGCAGTAAGCTAGCTTGGAAGATGAAAGTGCCTACGTTCAGCAATTGATGAGAAAGCCATTTGGGTTCATGATATTTTAAAATGGTAGCTCAACACAAATTGGGGAACTTTTTAGGCACATGGGATGAAGTACTATTACAATAGAATTTTATAACATTGTTTTTCTGGACACCTTTCAGTACATATTCCTGTTCCCATTTTAGTCTAGAATACACTACCAGCTAGCTTATTAGGTCTTGATTGGAAAACTTGACAAACCTAAGTTTATATAGAGACTACTTGGCTGACGAGGTACTAACTGAGACATAGCTGCCAAATAGGTGGAAACTTTTGACACAGGAAATAAAACTGCATTTTAAAACAAACACCCAACTCTTCTGGAAACACATTTGAAAGATCACCCGTGGATTAGAGAAATCCAATCACATATGAAGAAACAAACAAATACAGTTAAATTTTATGCACTCACTTCCTTTCCCACCTGCACTTTCAAACAAAGCATTAACACACTACACATAGTCAGTCAGTCTGAATGAAGGAGGCTTGCACCTGGACTTCATGCATGGTTTCTTTTCATTGGCCAATGATCCCACTGATTATTCTGCAAGAATAAATTACAGCCCCATAGTTTGGCTTTTGATTTGCTGCATGGCTTTACTCATTCCACTTATTAATTTGGTATGACAGACTGAAAAACTAAATGCACTGTAATTTTTTTGCATGCAGGAGAACTAGTCAGTCGTGTCAATGATGAGACACATGAAAGGCAAGGCATAGCCAGTAGCCTCTCTGTCTTCCTGGACATGCAAGTGTATGTGTTTTTGATGCAGTGTGCCATATACATTCTCCTTGACTCACTCCTTCCAGTGATTGCATGTGCTGGTGTTTTTTGCAAGAGACTGGCCACACCACAACACTGTCTGGTGACCAACCATGCAGCGCACAAAGTGAGGCATCATAAATGGTCATTTCTGAACATACTCACATTGCCAGGCTGTAAAACACTTTCACATGTTACATCTCCTAGCAGTATACTTAATGTTAAAGGGTGCTTTCATATGACAAAAATGCCTATGTAAAATCACTTTGAATTTTCAGATGCCTTTCAGTCATCTAAGGGTCATATATTGTAGCATTTTAAATAAAAAAAGAGACTGTTTTTCCTTTTAAGTGTGTTTACTGAAGGTATATGTTTCTACAAACACTAACTTAACTGGAGTTAACTGTAAAAAAAAAAAAGTGGGAGCGGTATTATTGATCTTCTTTTCAGGATCCATATGAAACACGGATACATGTAGTCATGTTCAAGTTGTTTTCTATGTGAACTGAAGTGATTTCACCCAGTCACCACCGCTGCACTAAAATTACTGATGGCTACAAATTACATCTCTACGTGGGCTCAAGAGGCTTTCAGCAGATACTGCACAGTGAAGTAGGTAGTGTGAAAGAAGTGCTAACAACAAGAGTCTACAGTCATGCTAGTGCCTTCGTGAGACTAAGGCACAGCAGTAGTTAAATGTTAACATTAACAGAACTAAACCAAAATACAGCTGAGGCTGATGCTAATGGCCTTGAAGTATTTCATAAATCAACAAAATTAAAGCATTTACCTGATAATGATTACACGTTAATGCATCACCCGGGTGACTACAGGTTCCTCCAAATGTTATGGCAGTTCATCCAGTAGTTGTTGGGACATTTCACTCAAAACCACAAATTGGGAACCTAGAGGAAAAGTCATGTGCCAGTTCACCCAGTAGTTGTTGAGATATTTCTGTCTGGAACAAAGTGGTGGACTGACCAATAAACAGAGAGACCAACATTATAATCCCTAGAGTTCCTAACATGGCTGAAATATGTATTTATGACATCCTGGGATGTGGTAGAAAAGCTACATTGTTGACTGAAGAATTTCCCTTAAAGCTCTGCTCTTTATTTCAGTTACCACCTGGTGTGATTTCATGTCATAAGTTGTTAAAAAAGAAGACTGCGGTCTCCATGTAAACCCCCCTTTGCCTTGAACACGTCAAATATACATTCTCAGGCTCCTTCTTGATGACAGCATACCCACTTCACATGGCAAGTGCTAAACCAGAGCTGAGCTTGCGCTTTGAAGCCATTGTTAAAATCGGTGAGAGTGTGATACCTTCAGTCACACACGGACAATGAATAGTATGATTTATATGTCATAAAGGATCATGCCTGTGAGCACATGTTATAGTGAGCATTGCTCTGTGTTTTAACATGGTGGGGGAAAACAGGCCACTACTACTGTACTTTTCCCAGATACCAATATATAATTAGATCTGTCATAACTGTTCTAAAGACTGAAACATTTGTAAACCCAGAATCCCCTGGGGACCAGGGTATGCATACTGTCAGTCTTGGAGATAACATGCCCTACAGCTACAGGTGTGGGAAGATGATGTACACAGACTCAGGTTACAGCAGATTGGCAAGGCAGAGGCTGATGGAAGCTCTGATTGATCCTTAAAACAGAGACGCTTGTGGGAGAATTGTAATTGAATCTAGAACAGATGTTAAACAGGCCAGAAAGAATGTGGTTATGCTGACGGTACACAGACTGAAAGTCAAAATTACACTAGATGAACAGAAATAGCAACGGTTAAGTTAACATTTTATTAAATGGCTTTTAGAGTCCTTTCTTTTATGGTTTATTAGATTGGTAAAGAGGAGCCAGATGGCAGTGTAAACTGAAAGGTAACACAGTTCACTGCTCACGCTTCAGTGTATGGAAGTTACATCCACATGATATTTTGCAACAGAAATATGGTGACTGAGCGTAACCCCATCGATTTTTCTGAGGGAAACACATCTCTGCTGACACAACAAGCTGCATAATGTGTTCCACATTTGAAAGGCACCTCAGAGGTGGAGGCAGTGCTCAGTTTAGTTACTTAAGTAAAGGTACCAATAAAATACTCTGTTGCAAGTAAAAGTCTTGCCTAAATAAAAGTACACAAGGTTTAGCAGAAAGTATACTTAAAATTTAAAGTACTGATGGGCAGCTTGTGACTTTTACACCAAGGAACAATAAATCTTGCGATCATACTGTATTTTGTTTCATGTACCTCTTTCTGAAAAGTATATATTATATTATAGTATTTAACATTGACAAGGGCCATTCTCTCTTAATTAAAAACACATTTGATCTTTTTGCTGATAATATATTCATGCTTTTACTAACTGTTTAAATGGTGGTTCTTTACTTGTAATGACAACACATGATTGCATCTTTTATCTGAGTAAAAGTTTGAATACTTCAGGTGAAGTCTAAAATAACATAGTGACAATGCATGTTTAATGATATTGAAATCACTGGTGGGAGTAAAGGATACAGTAAAACAGATTGATGTAGTAATCAGTGTAACCAACATATTCTCATAAGGCAGCGATAATTTCATTAGAAATACTGTATAGTTTTGGCAGAGATGGCACCACAGCGCCATCTGCTGATCTACACAGATATTGAAAAGATTAAAATGATAAGTTTCCAGTAAAATCACTCTGTTCCTGTGAGTTTGTTTATTTTGCCTTATAAGTGTCTTTTGTTTCACTTTGTCTGTCCACTCTGAAGCTCATTGTGATAACGTTTTCAATCCCAGCCTGCAGCTCATCATGCTCCGTCACCGCAGAAACTCCTTGAGGAGTCCCAGTCAGGATGAGATCCCCCTCCTCCAGGGTGATGAAGTCGCTGATGTAGCTAATGAGATAGGGGATGGAGAAAATCATATGGGAGGTGCAGCCGCTCTGCCTCAGCTGGTCGTTCACCTTGAGCCACAGCTTCACGTTGCCCGGGTCAGGGATGCGCTCTTTGGGGATGAACTCACTGATGGGGCAGGAGGTGTTGAAAGCTTTGGCCAGGGTCCAGGGCAGACCCTTGGACTTGCATTCGTCCTGGATGTCCCGGGCTGTCATGTCCAAGCACAGAGCATAGCCTGCAACATGCTCCATAGCGGAGGACTGAGGGATGGCTGTGCCCCCCTTTCCGATCACTACCCCTAACTCCACTTCATGGTGCAGGTTGCTGGTGTACAGAGGGACTAGGATAGCGGAGCCCTCTCTTACATATGCAGAAGGAGGCTTCAGGAACAAAACAGGCTCTGCAGGAATCGCATTTTTTAGCTCTTTCGCATGGTCTGCATAATTTCTCCCAACACAAATAATCTTTCGCCCCCATTCCCAAAACCGAGATATATTTCGTGCCGTCATTGCGGTGTAATATTAAGTCGATCAGCAACAGTTTAACTAAACTTTGACCTACGCTGTAACTGCAACAGCTGGGTTTTTACCTACGGCAAGCCTGAAGGGACACACAAACACATCATTGGTCATGACACAATCATTTTATCGATGCTTTCAAAGATGTTTCAGGGCCAAAATGTAAACCAATCACCCTCACACATTCGCTGTTGTATAAGTATAGATGGAAAAATACGTGAATAGTCAGTTTATTGACGATTATTCAAGATCCACTCCCTCAGACTTGATTGGTGGAGCCTGGGAATTTAGAGTTGAAAAGGGGGCGGAAACGGAATAAACCAGAAATAAACTTCTGGTTTATGTGAATATTTTAAGGTTGTAGCAGTTGGTATGTTATTCAGGACATTAGCAGGGAGTGTCTGCACTCTAATAGGAGCTGCAACTACTTTAAAATTTGGTACGGTCCGCACGATTTTTCACTGTTAGCATCCAAACTATCTAGCATGCTTGTTTGTTTACATGAATGTACTTAGGGAGTGCTAACATATTTTTATTTTCTCGTGTCTTGAGAGGAAGACAGTTTGCCTGTCTGAGCCAACGTCGCAACTCTGTTTTTCTCGTGACTCTTATGTTAGATCACTTCTGTGGCAGCTAGGTGATTTTTAAAAAAGCTTGCCTATACTTTTTTTTACAGGTAGCATCGAAGCTAACTTGAACTAATGATCCTATTTGCTCAAGTGCAGCCATTAATGCAGCCGAAGTGTCTGTATAGTTTCTGGTGTCGCAGTACATAAAAATATATATTTTTAGGGAAAACTGTGCGTGTCATAAAACTGTACAGCTTTTATATGAATGTAAAGAGTTAAATAAGACTAACAGGGTGTCTATATCAGTCTGACGTTGGTATCTTGTCAAATATTGACTTACATTCTCTTATGTCGCACCTGAAGTCCAGGCCCACGCAGCCGCTTTCTTTCACAGCGCAGTTAGGAAACCTTCTTTGGTAGAACAAGCAAACATGAGGGTTGAACTTCTTCCCGCACTCAGTGACAACTACATGTACCTCCTGATCGATGGTGACTCCAAAGAAGCGGCTATTGTTGACCCCGTGGAGCCAATAAAGGTCTGTGCATCCGTTATATTTTATTGTATTAACAGCTCGGAAGTACTGAGCTTCTGCACAGTTTTGATGCACTTGAGTACTTTTTCATTTTTTTGCTACTTAATAATTCTACACCACAATATGTCAGAAGTAAATGCTGTGTTTTCATGCTACATATTCTATGTTATATTATATACATATATGTATTATATATTTTATGTTTCTCAACTACATATTTTAGTTAGATGTGTTTGTTCTTTCATCAGGTTGTAGAGGCTGTCAGAAAACATGGTGTAAAACTCACAACAATTCTGACCACCCATCATCATTGGTAGGGCTACATTTTAATTTTACATATACACAGGTGTACGTCACCCCCAGTATTCATACTATATTCACAATAGCATTCTACAAACACTAGAGCTAAAAGGCTAACATGCTAGGAAACCATTATATCTGCATGAAACTACTCTTCTGTTGATCCAAAGGGTCATAACAATAACTGATCATATTCTCTCCGTAGGGATCATGCTGGTGGAAATGAGAAGCTGGTGAAGATAATGCCAGGGCTGAAGGTCTATGGAGGAGATGACAGAGTTGATGCTATTACAAAGAAAGTTTCTCATTCCCACAGTTTTAAAGTAAGGCCACAAAGTTCTGTATCATAGAACCCAAATATACAGTAAGACCCAGATTACTGATGTTTCCTTACTGGTGTCATTCTTTTCCAGCTTGGATCACTCAATGTCAAATGTCTGTTCACACCATGTCACACAACTGGCCACATCTGCTACTATGTGACACAAGGAAATAGCACTGAGCCACCAGCTGTGTTCACAGGTACCTCAAATCCCATGAAGCTTTTAGATCAGACTGCGCAAACAAATGCCAACAATGGCAAAACCTTTAATCTGCCAAAGCTTGATCAGTCAGTACTGATGCAGCCTGTAACAAGTTGGCCCCCCTGTCATGTGTGACCTTTAAAGCCCAAAGGATGCTTCTCTTTTTTTCCATACAGGGGACACACTGTTTGTTGCTGGTTGTGGTAAATTCTTTGAGGGCACAGCAGAGCAGATGTACAAAGCCTTGATAGAAATTCTGGGACGCTTGCCTCCTGAAACGGTAAATATATAATCCATCCGTAATATAAGTCTAAATGTAACACTGAAGACATGAGTCATTCGAAAAGCAACTGACTGAATATTTAAAACTGAAGCTAATTGAGATTAGAGCTAAGTGTTCATTTTTAAAGTTTAAAAGCTGTCAGATATATTGCCAAAGTTGCTTGACTGACTACCAGTGGTGTGTTTGTGTTTAAGCGTGTTTACTGCGGTCATGAGTACACTGTCAGCAATCTGAAATTTGCTCGTCATGTGGAACCAGACAATGAAGTCATTCAGAAAAAACTAGCATGGGCAAAGGTATTTTATTGACATCCAAGCAGTTATTGCCCCAGTCTGTTGATTAATCAATGAAAATTTTAAAAAAGCATTTTATTTCTGTAGGAGAAATGCAGCGAGGGTGAACCTACCATTCCATCCACTGTAGCAGATGAATTCACATATAACCCCTTTATGAGAGTAAAGTAAGTAGTTACTTCAGAAGATTGGAGTTTGTTTAAAACTAGTTTCAGTTAATATGATGTGACTGGCTTACTCATACTGTATTTTTTGGTGTTTAATTTAGGGAGAAGTCCGTCCAAGATCACGTAAAGCAGACAGACCCGATTGAAACCATGAGAAGTCTCCGGAAAGAAAAGGATGGTTTCCGCGTGCCCAAGGAGTGATGCCTCGTGCACTCGTGCTGACATTTCTGAACAGCAGCTTACAACACTGCGAGCCGCTTATAGTATCCTAAAGAAAACATCTGCAACTCCTCTTCAAAGCCATTTGAAAGAAATGCTACTAGATTGCTCTATCATGGCAGAAACCTTTTATCACTATGTTCAGCCCTAATATATTGTAGCTATAAACATGGTTTAGTTTGTTTAGGTTGATGTTCGGGTGCTCGTTTTAAGGAATATATGGCCATTGATTTAATGCTTTAAATGATAAGTTTGTTAATCTGTGAATTTGGAGTTATAAAGTCTATTTAGTATTTGTAATATATTGATGCTCACACTGTTCCATTCAGTGTTTAAATTTGAAATCTAAGAAAGGGAGTCACATGAATAATGTAGAATGAAGAATGTGTAAAATTTCTGTACATTGGCAAAGTTATTTCCTTGTCTGTAAAATTTTGTATCAGTGTTTTATTGTGACCTGGAATGTTTATTCATGTTATATATGATAAAATCAGCACTAATGCATTTTATTTCTGTGAGCACAGAATTGTCTATGTACTGGAGTGTCAGCATTAAATGATAGACACCTCAAATGCTCTTTTGTATGTAAAGTACAAAAAATACTGCGTTATGTTCTACTGGGAAGCACAGTAGAACACATTTGTTGTAGAAATAAATTGTTTTGCCTTCAAAATGTAGTTTACTAATACTAAAAGCATTAATCATCAAATTACCTCATTAAAATTATACAACATTCCTGGATGAACATTACGCAGAGTTTTAATGTAACTGATCAGGTTGGAACAATTAAGGCACCATACAACCACATGGGTGTTTTCACTTATTCTAAAAGTATCCCATATTTTACCCTAATATAGCCTATAGCGAAGAAGAAGTAAAGGAAAAAGGGACATTTTCATGTAAAGTTCCTCAAAATTTAACTGTGGTACTATATTCACAATGAACATATCCAATAAATTCATAAATGAAAACGAAACATCTTGTTCTTTCAAAGTAAAGACGTGCAAGGGTTTTTAGATTGTACGCTATTTGTTGTAAATAACTTGCGTTTTCATCAGTTTATACTCAAAATGTATTTACAAATATTTTCAAGTCGATATGACAGATGAAAATAAGTTGAATGTCTCTGGCTCGATTAACATGTCTTGGTTTTGACATGCTGGGTCGATCATGTCGCGATAACTTCCTACTCTGTGCAGAAATGTGGGATAATTTTCACAGTAAAACAGCAGGGCAAGTGTACGCAGCTTAATCGGAATCATTTGAACTGAGGTAACGTGTTGTTTTTCATGACTTGCGTCGACTCATTAAATTAATGTTAAAGGTGCAGAAAGTGTTCAGTTTCATGACACATCGCCAGAGTCAGGTTGTTTGCAGACTGGTGCAGCTAACGGTAGCATGCTTTTATTAGCTAACTTAGTGCTTAACTGTGTCAGTGACAACGTTAACAACTGATACGAATGATAGCTGGATAATTGTCGATTTAAGTAATCTTGAGTAATTTAAACCTCTAAAGTGTCGCGCACTGTGGTGCGCATGCGTGTGAGGGGTGTCATGAAAGTAAAGGTGATCTCTGTCCTGGAAGACAACTACATGTACCTGGTGATAGAGGAGCAGAGTAAACTGGCCATAGCTGTGGATCCTGCTGTACCACACCGGGTGAGACAGCCTTTTTTATTCGGACTTTTAATTCAGACTATGCCTCATAAAGTAGCCTTCTGATACTCTTTAGCCTTTTCTGGTCTTCTGTTTTAGTACAAGTGATAAAACTACAACATACTGAGCAGTAACGGATTACAAAGAAAGGATTGTGCTGGGGTATGAAGGCATCTCACAAATGATAAATAAAACTAAAATAATGAGACTGCATTTAATAAATAAAGGAGCATAAGAGACAAAGTAGACTAAAATAGCCAATAATTATATTACTTACAGACAATAAATACAGTCAGTACTGGAAATATTGACAGTTGGACAGACAGTACATATGGGAACTACAGCTAACAGCTAAACATCTGTTTCTTTGGATAGCTGCTAGAAATAGTGAAGAGAGAGGGCTTGTCTCTGACTGCTGTTCTCACCACACACCATCACTGGTAAGAACAGTGTTTGGGTTACAAGAAGGGGTAGGCTAGAAATGGAGTATATCATTAATACCCAGCAAGTCATTGCTACTGTAATAACTCATCTGTTTCCACATATCAGGGACCATGCTCGGGGGAATGAGAGCCTGCTGAAGGACGTTCCTCAGCTGAGGGTCTATGGGGGAGATGATCGGATTGGGGGTCTGACCGATAAAGTCACCGATGCTCAGGAACTCAAGGTGCAAAATAGGACAACTGAGACAGTGTTCCATTTATGATATTAACATGTCAATCATTTAAAAAAATACAAATTTTCTTGTGTTGTTGCCACATTGTCTTTTGATGTTGTGTTTTTTCCATTTGCAGTTTAACTCCATCAATGTGAGGTGCCTATTTACTCCATGCCATACCTCTGGTCACATGTGCTACTTTGTTTGGGAAGATGAGTGCTCTGACGCCCCTGCAGTGTTCACAGGTCTTTGTCGTTAAACGTAAACAGCGGATGAACCAGATGAAAGCTGAGACGTAGCCTATATTTCCAAATACGGCTTATACTGTACCTGTACAGTATACTCACTGAGTGGAGGCAAAAATGCACTTTTGTGGCATCAGTTATTTTCTTAGTCAACTATGCTAAATACAGTGCCTTGCGGAAGTATTCGGCCCCCTTGAACTTTGCGACCTTTTGCCACATTTCAGGCTTCAAACATAAAGATATAAAACTGTAATTTTTTGTGAAGAATCAACAACAAGTGGGACACAATCATGAAGTGGAATGAAATTTATTGGATATTTCAAACTTTTTTAACAAATAAAAAACTGAAAAATTGGGCGTGCAAAATTATTCAGCCCCTTTACTTTCAGTGCAGCAAACGCTCTCCAGAAGTTCAGTGAGGATCTCTGAATGATCCAATGTTGACCTAAATGACTAATGATGATAAACAGAATCCACCTGTGTGTAATCAAGTCTCCGTATAAATGCACCTGCACTGTGATAGTCTCAGAGCTCCGTTTAAAGCGCAGAGAGCATCATGAAGAACAAGGAACACACCAGGCAGGTCAGAGATACTGTTGTGGAGAAGTTTAAAGCCGGATTTGGATACAAAAAGATTTCCCAAGCTAAACATCCCAAGGAGCACTGTGCAAGCGATAATATTGAAATGGAAGGAGTATCAGACCACTGCAAATCTACCAAGTGAATCCTTGTTGAAGAGCACACTGTTTATTGTTCTTCTTCACTGGGTTGACAGGGACTGATCCCTGCCTTCTGTGACATTTCATTGATGTGTCTTTTGGTTGTTAGGGGATACATTGTTTATTGGTGGATGCGGGCGCTTTCTTGAGGGAACAGCAGAGCAGATGTACCACAATCTCACCCATGTGCTGGGCTCCCTACCTCAAGACACGGTTAGTGGAACTAAGAGATAGTTGTTATTGCTGTGCACAGTCTTCACGGGGTTAACAGCTAACATTACCTCATATGAGAGCCAGTGCAAGAGTGAGTCACACTAATGAAAAGACACACATACAATGAAGGGATTCAGGGCAGCATGACTCTCTGTCATCTGTCATAGTCCACAGACCACAGCCAGAGTGATCACGTTTCTAGAAGGTCTACTGCTATGTGTGTCAGTGTATCTAAATATCTAATACAGTATGTGATCTACTCCCGACTGTAAATCATGCTCTGTTCATCTGTAGAAGGTGTTCTGTGGACATGAGTACACCATTAAGAACCTGAAGTTTGCTATGCTGGTGGAGCCAGAGAACGAGAAGGTCAAAGAAATGCTGAGCTGGGCCAGGGTGAGCAATACAACAAAACCTGCTCTGAGAATAATGTTTGCAATATTCTACTTTTTTTGTCAACAAAAGACCAAATCCTTAAAAATGCATTAGTTTGTGGCTCTAAGCTCCAAGCCCGTAAAGACATAAACCTTTTAAAACGGCTCATAAGTGTATATACTTTGTACATTTTGAAAAAGGCTAAAGTATTCCACAAAACTGTTGGTCAGTGTAGTGGTTGGCAAACATTACTCATAAAGAATTAAATGGTACATTGTCTCTGGGCTATTTTCGGCCTCAGATTAATACACAGTTGGATTTCTAGGGTAGTATTTCCAGCAGCAGGATGTTGTTTGTGGGACTGACTCCAAATAAACTACGGTGCCCGTTATCAATCAGGCAGTTAAACTTTATAAGCACCTTTTTGCAGGCTCATTCAAGTACGTTATAAAAGACTCAAAAGTTAAGACAGAAGAAATGAGAAGATTAAAAACAACCTGGGCAGCACGGTGGCACAGTGGTTAGCGCCGTTGCCTAACAGCGAGAAAGTTCCGGGTTCGGGCCCCACCTGGGACCTTTCTGTGTGGAGTTTGCATGTTCTCCCCGTGCTTGCGTGGGTTCTCTCCAGGTACTCCAGCTTCCTCCCACTGACCAAAGACATGCAGCTTAGGTTGATTGGTGTCTCTAAAATTGCCCATAGGAGTGCGTGCGTGTATGTGTGGTTGTTTGTCTATGTGTTAGCCCTGCGATGGATTGGCGACCTGTCCAGGGTGTACCCCGCCTTCTCCCGATTGCCGGCCGGGATTGGCTCCGGCCCCACCCGTGACCCCGTTCAGGGACTAAGCGGTAGAAAATGAATGAAAACAATCTGAAAACAATGAGATTAATGTATGTGACAAATTTAAAAGGAAGAAAAACTATATAAATATATGAAATAAACTAAAACTAGAAAAAAATATAATGAAAAATAAAACCTATATAATGGAGTAAAACCTCTTAAAACATGAATACAATAAAATAAGTTAATAAATAATGCAGATAAAAAACAGTTTCAGCTGCTCTCAGACATTCAGACAGACTGCTGCAGTGACTTAGAGCATTAATACATAAAAACTGCCTCATCATAAGTTTTTGTCCTGGACTTTGGAACAATTAAAAGAGAATCCTGGCTTGTTCAAGACCATGAAGTGAGATAAAACAAGTAAAAGAATTGCTGGACAACATTGGAGGTGTGTGGCACGGTGAAATAAGCTAGTTAAGGCTTTGGCCACACCATTGGTAATGTAGGATCAAGTCATTGCCAGCTTTGGTCTTTTTCAAAAACAAAAATCTGGAATATTTACGGTCTAGTTATTCTTTATATATGTAGATAAGAAAACCTTATTATGGCGAGTTGCATGACAGTCCTGGTGTCTCCAGGCAAGAGACGATGATGACAAGCCCACAGTGCCATCTACCCTAATGGAGGAATTTGAATACAACCCTTTTCTTCGCCTGTCGTGAGTATAAAACATTGTCTCTAGCCATCTTGGCAATAGCTGGGGACTGACCTGTAGCATTAGCTGTATTTGAAAGAATATAGATACTATAGGTGCATAGATGTAATAAATGATAATGGTAACTGATCCAAAAGACCTGCCTGAAATTTTTAAAATCTCCCTGAAGCTTTGTTTTTTTTTCATTTAAATCACACAGATGTTGCTTCTTGCAGCATTGCCAGTACAGGACTTATGTGTATACTTGTTTGCTCTTTTAATGGTGACTTCGTTTATGCAAACATGATATAATTATTAGTGTGATCGACTTGATAGGTTTCAGGATTTGTTAGTAACAGTGGATTTTTGAATTACCACATTTCCTGCCATAGTTTTGTTATACTTTGTCTTAGTTGTTAATTTCTCTTTTCATATGTTCTTCCTTTACTGCAGACAGGAAGGTGTGCAGAAATTCACAGGGAAGACAGACCCCATAGAGGTGCTGAGGGTCCTGCGGAAGGAGAAGGACAAACTTAAGAAGCCCAAGGAGAGACTTCCTCCCCATGCCATGTTGGCTTTGGAGTGGGGGCTTCTCAGACCCTGAGATCCAGTTTCAGATCTCTAGGTTGATCAACTGAATGCAGCAAGACACAAGACTGTAGAGTGTGGCCATTGTTGCTTTTACACTAAATTTAAACAATTTATATTGCTGGGTGACCCTCAGGGGACATGTGTGGTGTTTCAGTAATTATGCACATTGTACAAAAAGGCCAGCACAAAGCTGCTTCCATTAAATACTCCTACAATGTAAATTAATTAAAACATTTGTTTCCCAGTTTGTTATGTAGATGCTAATAACAATTTCCATTAAAATGGATGAGATTTTAATTTTGAGTATCTGGTTTTGGGAGAATTTCTTTGACTTATTTGTATTAGAATGTTTAATTTCTTTGAAATGCTCTTGTACTCTGTATATGTTTATTTCCTGTCTGGTAACCTTAAAACTGCTTTTTTTCATTTATAGCCTTTTGACTAATTCCAGTATGGACATATAGTCTATACTTCCCAGGCACTCTTTTGCAGCCAAGAGATACAGTTTTAATATACAAGACAATTAATGTGAATGTATCTGTCTTTTAGAGTCCACCTTCTACACAGTATTAGGACAGGTATCTGTTACCCACAAGGGTAGAAAAACAACAAAGTGTACATCACTATGAATGTCAGTTGCTGCTTTTCATTCCTAAGTCTACACCTGTACCTTGCGAGAGTGCTTAACTAAATCAGTCAAGATCAGTCAATAAAACGTTATTAACCTGAATCTGTGTTTTATTGGACATCTTCATGTTTCAAAAAACCTATATATATATACACACTCATTATGTTAAACAAACATGGAATTAGATTTTGCTTTGTATTATTTCAACTCACATTTCCAGTGTGTAACAGGTGTCGTGCAAATGAATGATTTACTATTTTTAAAGTTGAGAGCACAGTAGTGTAATAGCAAGTCATCAGACCACCCAATCTGATTTGCTTCAATGTATATCATCATCTATGCCTTGGTCTTACATCTTGCCAGGCACACAGGTTTTGGACAAGGAGAAAGGTTGTTTAAAAAGTTGCTGGCATACATAAACCCATTGCCCAAACCCCTTCTCTCTGAACAGAGACAGAAATGGTCACACATTCTGTAGTCACTGTCTGGTTAAAAAACATTTTTTAAAACTTGTGGCCTAAAATTCTGCAAAATCATCCTATCAGCTGAACGTGAACTGAGGCAAAATCAGTGATCACCACTTCATATTGAGCCCACTGGTCATCTTCTCCACAGTGTGGTACTGTGTGTGCAGCAGCTCTTTGGCTCTTTCCTCTCCTACACTGTGGAGCCAGGACTGATACAGCTCAGCCACACGGGTGTCATCCTCAGGGGCCAGGGGGCGTTCTGCCTTGTAGAGATCCTCAACCGTCTGGAGAAGCTCCTTTGCATTCTGACCAGGTGTGGCCTTCACCTGCCCACCACCATTGAGACAACCTGATGCATTGACAGGAAGGTAAGAGGGAAATATGCTGGGTTTTAATGCCCTTGCAAACAATAGTCAAGGTGTGTAGTGGAGATGTGCCAGTTGTGCTTTGCAGTGACACGTTTGATACAAAAAGAAGATGATGCTTTTTTTCATTCAAACAGTGGCTATATTAAATTTGAACCACATTGGAATAGGATTTAATATCTTTGGTGCAATGAACTTTGAGAGAAAAAGTATAACAGATGCATAAATGTAGGATTTTTGGAAGTTATGATTTGAGCATTTTTCTCCTTACCTGAGGGACAGGCCATAACCTCTACAAAATGGTAAGGTGACTTCCCCCTCTTGAGTTTCTGCACCAGATTCTGGATGTTTCGGAAGCCGTACATGGAAGCAAAGGACAGCAGGACTACTCCATCCCTCTCTAGAGTCACCTCCTGGAAGTCTTTATTCCTGTGATGGGGGGTTGAAGTGGGAAGGTACTGTATGTTTAGTCAAAAATTCTTAAACAAATAAGGCACAAAATAAGTAAGATGGTGCAATTAATTATATTTATCCAAACATTCAGTCTGTATAAAAATGATTAATTGTATAAAGTCTCTAATAGAACACAATATCATTAAGCATTCTCTACAAGGAAAGATGTTCTGGCATTAACGTCATTTGAATGAACTGGAACTGTCCTTCATTCACACTAGCCTGACTGATGCAGGAAGCATAATTAACCTGGGCCCCACCATAAGGCATTTAAACTTGTTTAAGCAGCCTAGTCAGACTCACCTGAGGGTCTTGTAGGTGAGCTCCTTCACCTCCTCTCCAAACAGCTGCTTTGCCGCATAGGTGAAGACGTGATGGAGGTAACCCCCTGAACCACTCCCAGCATGACTCAGGAACTCATCCCCACAAACGCTGCTGAGCCTGGGTCAAGAATATAAAGCAGGGTTTGAGTGAAACTGTCACTCTGGATATTTGTGATATGGCTTATTATTTAGGAAAGTGCTGGGCTAAATATATTGTGTTTTTCTTTTAACTGTAATGTCTAATTTTCTTCAAGAAATCATATCATTACTTATTATATATTTAAATGTTCTCTAGGCATTATAATAATTTTCTGCTTTGGTATCCCCATAGCTGAATACTGTAAATACAAAGGAAAACACTGTTCACATATGAAAATGAAGGCATCTTACTGATCTTGTAGCTCATCTAATTTGAGTCCACACCTAGTGTATGACCCGAAGAGGTAGTTTGCTTTGCTTAGAATTGCTTGGTGACAGACAATATATTGCAGGTTTAAAGAAAAAAGCAAAATGACACAGAACTTACATTGTACATTGTGTATCTAGGACTGCAGGCCCAAAGTCATTAAGGGACACATTCTCCTCATCCAGCATTTTCTGAACTTCTCCTATATGAAAGAATTAAAAGTGTAAAGAAGCAGATATTCCACATTCACAGACATAAAGAGCATCCTGAGCATAGTTACTGTACCAGAGGTGATGACACAGTCCACTTCTCGGGTCTCAGCTTTGTTCAGGTAGAAGTCTGTCCTCGAGGCCTCAAGTTTCTTGTCAAAGCAGGGCATTACTGCCACGTGGTAGATCTGCTGTGGACTCAGGCCCTAACAACACACACATAATACACACCTCTGCATAAATTCATACTAGTTGGCACCAAACACTAAGAGTGTCTATTTGATACTAAAAACTATATGTTTAATTTATGTACCTGTTGTTCAGCAAAATAGCCTTTAACCAGAGAACCCATCATCTGCTGCGGAGAGCGAATGGTACTAATGTATGGGAGAATAAACTCCCCATGGGTCTTTTCTGCATAGCAGATCCAACCTGAATAAAACACACACACACACACACACACACACACACACACACACACAATGGAACCTGGCCTTGCTGGTGGTCTTTGAATAAACACTGATAACACAACAAATGTAAATAATATTACACAAAAGCGACTGATGCTACATTGTGCATTTTATTAAGGCTATTATTAAGTTAGTAATGCACCACCAACATCACAATTAGATACAAATGAAGCTAATTACTTTTAATTCTACTTTTACATTATATTAATTATGTTTATCTATATTATTCAGGGTTTTTGTGGAGTACCTGGGCAGGCAGATGTCAGCATGGGCAGGGCCTTGCTGTCCTGCTCCTTCCTCTGGAAACGCTCCACAAACTCCCTTTGGCTCTCCAGCAGGCTGAAGGTCCGACTAAAGCTTGTATCAAATACATGATGCACCCCTGCAATAATAATAATAATCTTCAGGTGTGGCTGTGTCTGCCAAAATCAACCCATCTTATTGTGATTTCTTGCTTTACTGTGAGTTGTATCAATTAAATAAAATGGAAAAAATAACATTTGCAATTACCAAGGCCTTTAAAGAAAGAGGTAAGCCTCCTGCCTGCCTCACTACTGCTGAGGCCATAGTGTGCTGCAAGGGAGGCTCTGGACTGCGGTGACACCGATATCACCACAACTTTCTGCTCTGATGCACTGGTCTGTGGTTAAAATCCAAACGGCACATACATGAACACCAAAAGTGACACCAAAAGTAATTTTTGTCATTACTGACTAAAAGCTAACTACTAAAGGCTGCAAAAGCAATCATGACCAGGCATAATACAAAAGCATTAAAACACATATCCATCTCTACCTTGTTGTTACGCAGCACTTTGAAAAGCTCCTCGTGGCTCTGCTGTGTGATGAGGACACTCTCTGCTGATGTGATACAGCCACTACAGGCCAAACAGTCATTCAGCGAGATCTTTGCTTTCTCCAGCTTCTTTTTCCCACCATCCTACAGTCACAAGGCAAATTAATTCAACATAAATGATGGTGGTGGTGCAATACTTCAATTTTAATAATTCACACATAGGTTTTATTTATGGCACCCTGGCTGCGTTACCTGGTTGACTTGGACGTAACTGCCATCATCTTCTATTTGAATTCTGGCCACAGATTTACCTTGTTTCTTTTCTACTTTGACAGGTTTGACACATTCCTGCAAAACAGATAAAACGAACCAAACAACAAATTCCATTCCATTAACAAATTTTGTGATCAAGATAAACACAGACATTTGTAATAACATTCAGAGGCACCTGGCAGAACTGAACAGGAATTAGGGAAATACAATGAGTACACAATAAAATACAAAACAAACAGCTTTATTAAAAATGCCTTGAGTAGCCAGCAAGCATTTGTTCTTCACAAAGCTCAAAGATGACATTAAATGGAGAAACAACTCAAACAGCACCAGTGTCACATCATTCAGCATCTGGCAGGTGACAAATCTAGATGATATTAACTGGCAACACACGTGGTCAACAGTTATCGATGGCGTTTTACTAAACGATTTAGGTAGTGATTCAAAGTGTAGTACTGTACTGTCTACTGATACGATATACTAACCATTAGTGCTTGTGAGGCGTTGCCAGTGTTCGTCACTCATCTACATTAGGTCAAGTTACCTCTACTATTTCATCGCAGTTGCCTTGTTGCCGACATTAGCAGCAGGCTAACTGTGTAGCACGATCTTGAAGTTTAAAAAACACAGATTTTACACCCTGTGATCAGTTAGTTAAAATAATTACTTAGCATCGCATTATAATACGTTTTTGTAAAGAAGGAATCAATGTTGGGGATATTTTTGGGGGGTTGCTTACTCACACAACGGCAATGACAAGATCATATAACCATAAGCATGCTAACTAGTTCAGTACATTTGCCGCTACTCCGCTACGTTTTCTGCTTTTATAAGCGAAGTAAAGTCAAATCATACGCGTTACCTATGTTCTTTTGGAATAAATCGTATATGTTACAATTGTGTCATTACCTGAGAAGGGGTAATAAAGTCATCTAGATCTGTCAACTGCAGCACTCCGCTGAAGTTAGAAGCCATATTTACTGCCGTAAAGCGTTTGTTGTTTACTTGTGTGTCGTGAATAGCTATCATTGATTTACCAGACACAAACCTCACTATCCACAAGATGTTCATATATTTTGCATGCGCTGTAGCCCTGTGGTAATAGTAATCTTAAAAAAGGAAAAATATTGTCAGCCACTGGGAATAAGGTACATCAAGACAGGTAAATACACGGGCATTATAGGTACGAATTTTTCAAACAAACAAATAAATAATCACAGTTTTATATAGCTGCCACTCATCACCCAGTCAAGTGCTCTGTCCAACTAGTTCAGCTTTTGTTTTTATTTCTAACACGAGCTTCTTCTTGTAAATGTTATCTATACATGTTTAATTTGTTTGTTTATATTAGTTCACTTTTGTGTTAAATTGTTTCAAGAAAGGAATGCTGAATAAGACATTGTACAGTTTTCTGTATTATTTATTTGTATTTGTACGGTGTTTGAAGACATTATTTTAGGCACTGGAAAGATGTGAGCATTTTTCACTAGTTTCTTGCATTTGGACCAAGGAATTGACTATTGATTATTCGATGTCGAAAATAATCGTTAGTTGCAGCCCCATCAGCTGTATATGTCTGTTTGAAGAGTTAGCTGTGACAGCAAAATGAACCTGTATTACTACTGTCAAAATAGTGAATAAATTCTGAATAATCAGCTTTTAATCACATGCATTTATAAATAAATTGAATGTAATTCAGCTATAACATATAACCTGCTCTTTTTGGGAATTAGGAAAGAAGATTGCCGATGGACTCTAGACAATGTTTATGGTTTTTGTAGTTAAAAAGTAAAACAGAAAGCCTCCTAGGACATTCCAAATTAAAGTTGGTTGTTAAAAATGTTCTTGTGTTTCCCACCAACTGCACGTTTTTCCTCTTCTGTCAAGTTAAAGTACGTACGCAGGCGCCTTGTTGTTGTTATGACTACCTGGGGTCGTAAATCCGCCATGTTTTCCCTCCCTGTAGCAGCGTTGCGACAGAGACGGAGAATTCGAACGACATGAATGCAGAAAATAATCATACGGCAGAAACGGTGAGGGAGAAAACGAAGAACGGCAAGGAGACGATCATCATTCAGACCACGCTAGGGGACGAAGGTTAGTCCGTTTAACAGCTAAAACAAGTTTGAAATATTTATCAATTCTTACGTGTGGGCCTAGCTAACTTGCTGCATTGTGAGATGTTGCTAGCAGCTAACGTTAGCTACCATTAGCAACACGAGTATGGGCTACAGTTGTTAGTTTCATCCTCTTAGTTAGAAGTCCAGCCGGTGAGCATTACCGTAATTAGAAATGTTTACATCAGCATCATCATTACTACACCACTGGGAGTTTGCAGCGCAAATGCTTTCCGAGTTTATCTGATTCTGATAGGTTTTCTGTCTATGCTGTCAGATGAAGATGTGCACAAATGTGGACGCTGTCAGTCCGAATTTTCCACGCTGGAAACTTTCATTCAGCACAAGCTGCACGACAAGTGCAAACGTGTCGAGGTACAGGAGGCCAGCAGCCGGGATGCCAACACGGATGTAAGGGCCGCGATGTGTTTTATGTACAATAATCTCAAAGTGCAGGGGTAATTTAAATGTAGATCTCTGGAATATTTTGCTTTTTTTGTCAGGTTGCTGCAGCCAACAGAAGTTCTGCAGAGGAGAAAACAGCTAAAGGTGCATCCTCAGATGAACCAGTGAAAGTCACTGATGGTGGTCTTGTCTTTTTACCCAACAGCCCATCATCTTAACTCCAACTAAGTATTTATTGTAGATTCATTTGGCATTTTGTTGATAAATTGTTTAGTCTGTAAAATGTCAGAAAACGGTGAAATGTGCCCATTAATGTCTCTCAAGTGACAAGGTCACTGTAATTACTTGCTAGTTTTATCCAACCATCAGTCCAAAACCCAAATACTGTATATTCACTTTACTACAATGTGTAACAAAGAAAAGCATGGGGCCCACTAAGCTGAGAAGCTGAGATCAGCTAGTGCTCAGTAATTTTTACTTCAAGGGTGACTGAAGCAATACATTGAAAAAAAAATTATTTTATTTTTGGTGATTGGCTAACTAATTTAGCTCTAATCTGCATAGATCTGTAGGGCAATTAAACAAAAAATATTATTTTGTCCTTTTTTCATATAGAAGGAAGTAGTAGTCTGCTGGGCCGAGGGCGCAGGAAGAAAATTGCCTCACAGAAACTCAGTGACCAGTCAGATGTGGCTGAAGGATTGGTATCTGATAATGCTGACAGTGACAAGCCTGTTTACGAAATGAACCATGAGGGACGCTACATTTGCCAGCTTTGTCAAAAGACATTTAAAACGGTAAGCCATAGGCTATGTTTCATTTGTGCGCATCTCTGATCAGGAAATATTGCTATTAGAGTATCTGAGATGAATAATGAGAGTTTTTTTATAATTGCTAAAATTATTTTCATAAGTGGCAGCAGACATGGTGTTTATTACACTTTATGTTGCCAATCTTGCCTTTCTAATATGCTCTATTTTCACCCGACAGACCAATATCTTGAGAACTCACATGACAACTCACACTGACCAGAAGAACTTCTCATGCGACTTATGTGGCATCTGCTTTCGTACTAAAGGCTCCTTGATTCGCCACAACCGTCGTCACACTGGTACATAGAGTAAACCTCTGGACTGTTTTTATGCTGAATTGTTGTCTTCTGATAAATTTGACCTAATGATAACTCTGACTTCTCTTGCAGATGAACGGCCGTATCGTTGTAATCTTTGTGGCCAGTCCTTCAGAGAGTCAGGTGCCCTCACCAGACACCTTAAAGCTCTCACACCCTGTACAGAAAAGATCCGCTTTGTTCAGTACAAGGAGATCCTGGTCAGCAAAGATGGAGTACAAAAAGGTCAGATTTACACAGAAGGAACTGTTACCTTGTGACAAGTGTATCTGTGCTAAATCTTGCACAATCAAAGCAAATAAGCTGTAGGTTCTCATGAAGTACTTGAGATTTTAAAAGTATCATATTAATAATACAGAACCTCCATGGAGTCACAGACAGGTCTGTGTGCATTGTCCAGGTGTCGAAGCTAATCATGCTGTAGTGGATAGCCAACCAGAGGTAGTGGTTTTGGAGCAGCAGCCAGAGGAGCAGGAGATGATGGAGACTCAAACTGCTGTTGTCAGTGTGGTAGAGGCTGGTACTCAAGAGGTCCTCCATCAGGTCCATTTCACAATGGAGGTGGATGGAACAATGCAGGAGCAACAGGTCAGCTGAGAAA